AGTGCTTCTTGGGTATCATTTCTGGCAAACTGCAATTCCATCCCCCCCACATACTTCTGGAGCTTTTTGTTACGCATGTGTAGCTGCCCAACAGGATTTCACCCCCTAAAGTTGAGGTTTGTGGCAATCTCCTCAAGGGGAGTCAGAGTTTGAGCGTCTTAAATTTTGACCTGGTGACATGAAGAAACATGAACTGCTTGAAAGATTTGCGGCAATTAGATGATATATCACCCAGCCAACTGCTGATCATTTTAAAAGAGGATTGAACTCATATTCTTTCCTCAAGAGATTGTCTGAAAAGTCAGCATTGGCAATTTTGAAATAGAACTCTTTGGGGGTATGAAGAAGTATATAGTTCCAAAAAGGTGCCTTTCCGAAGGCATTACAGTTTGCGAGTTCAAATGGCTGCTTTCTTGAAATGTCTACTGTTTCTCATTTTGCAAATTGGGAATCCACTGGTTAGTCTTATGTTTGCTGTATAACGTAGCAAACACTTAATGGCTTTGCATAAAACATCTGCATTTTATTAAGCTGTAACTTAATATGTTCTCTTTCTTTGTCATGCTCTTAAATTTATCAATTTTCTTAGCCTTCATTTAGGGTGGAGCTTTTGGCTGAAAGCTGCAGGAGAATGCCAGATAGTTCTTTTACTAAAAACAAAATAATACATGGAATGCTACAGAAATTGGTTGTGTTTAATGGGGACACACATCACCTCCCTTAGAATATATTTAATCTTGATATTTTAGACTGCTGCAAAAGCTTTTCTGGTATCTGCTTTCCTTCTCTACCACCATCAAGCTTCTGTTGTGTTGGTTGTCTCTCTCTCTGTGTGTGTGTGTGTGTGTGTCTGTCTGTCTGTCTGTCTGTCTATCTACAGTGGTGCCTCGCTTAACGGGCGCTCCGTTAACGATGAATCCGCATAGCGATGGTGCTTTTGTGATCGCATTGCGATGTTGCCTATGGGGAAAAATCGCTTTGCGATTGGGCGAAAATGCCCCATTTTTCCCCAGCTGACCGGTGGGAGCTTCCGAAGGTCCGCAGGGGAGCCCTCCCGCGTGGTCCTTCCGAAGCTCCCGCCGCTCAGCTGGGCGAAAATGCCGGGGGTGGCTTCCGAAGGACCGCGGGGGAAGCAGAGTCTGGGTGAGGCTGGGCCATATCAGATTTTCCGCCAAGCGGAGCAAGAGCCCAAGGAGTTTCCTTAGCCCGGCTGGGGCTCCAAGGAGGAGGAGAAGGAGGGGCATGTGAGCCCTCATCGACGGCCACGACCCCCTCCAACTCCTTCTTCACTACCACCACCAGCAGCAGGACAAAGCAGGGGAAAAGGGAGGGAGTGCCGGCGACCGCCTAGCCGGGGAGGGGGAGGAGGGCACGACATAAATTTTTTTAAAAAACCAAACTCACAGAATTGCCTTGCCAAAGGAGAAAAGCCCCCATCGGTACCTGCGAAATTAAACAGAACGGGGCGGGCCCCTCCATAGGTGTGCGCACGCGCACACGCACGCGCGCACACAGACACACACGGAGGTCCGGCAACCTTCCTCTGAGACCCCCCCTCAAAAAAGGCACACTCAGCAGCAACAGCTACCCCAACCATGACAGAGGAGGAAACTTTGTGAGGCAAGCCCAGGCGTCCTCCAGAGCCGAGGCAGCTGAAGCATGAGGAGGAGGAAACACCGCTGGGTGCTGAGGTGGCCACTGGCCGGGCTGGTGCTGGGGGTGCAGAGAGAGAAAGAGAACCAGAGAGCCGCTTCCCTGGAAGAGGCAGCAGTGGCAGCAGCTGCTGTTGGCAGCTTGGAGGCGCTCTTCGAGGACGGTCCGGGAGCAAGCTCCGCTCTCAGGCATTGCTTGGCAGTGGCTCGGGCACTCAGGGGAAAGGGGCGGCAGCACACCTCGCTTGGCAGTTCTCCCCCAAGACAGCGCCTCTTG